TGAAAAAATGTCTAATCAATTCAACTTGGTAATCGAGTAGGAATGTTAACAAATACAATAAATAGTATTTAGTTAGTGTCGATAGCTAAATACATATATATAGGGGATGTTTGAAAGTCATTTTTATATAAAAATATATTTTAGAATAATAATTTGATGGGAAATGTATGTAGGGCTGGGCAAATCTTCTAAACTGAGCCGATCGAATTGAACCCGACGGTTCTTGTCAAATTAAATACCCGAACGGGTATCTGAATTGAGAACCGACGGGTACTGTTCGGTTCTCGATTTTAGACCAAGAACCAAAAAATCAAATAAAAACTGAATCTTTCTAATTTTTTTTTTGTATTGAGTAAATCAAATTATTTTAATTTTAATTTTTTTCTAAATAAATTAACAAATTAACGATTTCTAAATTCAAATTTTTGGCCCAATAATTTGTTTTATTTTTAATTTTTTAATTTTTGGTCCAATTACTCATTTTATTATTTCATTTCTTAGCCAAACAAGATCAAATCTACTAAATAACACTAAACACCTACACTAAAGTGCATAACGTTGTCTCAACTCTCGCACTCACTCCCGCAGTCTCGCTAATATTCCAAAACCTATACAATCGTCGACTGACACTGTGACCTCCGCCGATCGAAACTTTGATCGTAACGATCATTTGAATAAGGTAGTTTACTAATCTCTGACATTCCAAAACCATTGAATGTATCATTAGTTGTGTTTATATAATATTGTTATAAATGTTAAAAAATTTAATTATAGTATAGAATTGAACGGAACCGAACCCGAACGGTTCCATAATTATATTTGGATTCGACGATTCCATTTACTAGATACTCGAAAAATTTGGTTCGGTTCTATCCATAATTATATTTGGATCCGACGGTTCCATTTACTAGATACCTGAAAAGTTCTGTTCGGTTCGGTTCTTTATAGAACCGAACCGATCCGCGCCCACCCCTAATTGTATGGTTTAAAAATAAGGAAATTTTTTTGATTTACGTGTAATATTATTTTAATAAAAAATGTGTGGTTGAAAAGAAGAGAGAGAAAAATACATTTTGAAAAAAATGGGCACCAAATGAAGGCATAATTAGTTTGTTTGATATAACTTACTTGAAAATTATTATTTTTAATTTATTTTTAATAACTAATTCTCCTAATAAAATAATTTTACATTTAAACAAGTAATTCTTTTTCACTTTTTTTAATGATACATCCTTAAAAAATTATTTTTATTTCAAATAATCTCTCCAAACTAAAAGTATTTCTTTATTTCTCTTGGTGGTCAAAGAAAATAAAAAGGAAAAAAGAACCAAAAAAAAAAAAGAAGAAAAAAGAAAAAGAAAAAACATGCTAGTTTGGGCAACACGCATGCACCGAAGACAAGCACGATTCTTCACGGAGTCCGGTCCAATCCAACCGCCTTGCGTCCCAAGCCTATTCATTTTTACACGGCAGCTCCACACCATAAATACTACTTATCAGATCTCTCTATCTGGAACAAAGGGGAAAAATAAGTATTCCCAACAATTCATAGAGGAAAATCTACACAAAAGGCAAGCGCGTTTAATTACATAACCGGAGGAAGAAGGAAACCAAAATCTCATATTCCGGTTTTGTTGCACCAGGTATTTATCAATTCTATTACATTTATGTTCATTGTTTTAGTTCAGAAGATTTGATTTGGGTGTCCATGCGGATTACGAGAATTATTTTGTACTGAGCTTAAATTTAGGGAAATTAATGATGTGTATGACAGGAAATGAAAATTAGGGCCTAAGTATCAATCTTGGGGACTATTAGATTAGTGGGTATTTAATATTTATGTTTCTTTTTTTAGTTTAGAAACTGGGATGTAAGCATATAGGCCGATACTCAGAGGTAATTGTATTGAGATCGAATTTGGAGAAATGTACTGTTTTGATGGAATTTAAAAAGAAAAAAGAAAAAAGAAAAGGGTTGGAATATCAATTTTGCGGACTATTACGTTATTGGGTATTTAATATTTTTCTTGTTTTAGCTTGGAAGTTAGGATGTGAGTATTGGGGAAAATATTTGTTTTGAGCTGAAATTTGGTGAAATGAATGGTGAGTATCATTTAAAATGAGAATTAAGCTTTGAAAATCAATCGTGGGGCTTATTTTGTTAGTGGGTATTTAAGGTCTTTAAAATATGTGAGAATTCTGTACTATTATCTGATTGGTAAGTTTTGTTTTTTTTATTACTATTACAGATTGAAGATAGGGTTTTGTTTACTGGAATCGTCTGTTTCTACACTGTCGGAGGAAAGGAACTTTGGGAGTGTGACACGTCAGAATATGAGCTCTTCAGTGCAAAACAGCAGGAGGGACAATAATAATAACCGAACTAGAAACAATGGTTTTCAAGGTTCCCGTCGCGAGTGGGTCCCCCGTGGTTCTGCTGCCACCATACCCTTTGCAGTTTTAACACCGATGGATGGTGTCAATAGTTCGAGTGTTAGTGGAAATGGGAATGGGAATGGGCCTGGAAATGACATTGGAAATGTTGGGGAGCCTATTCATAAGTTGGTTCGACCTATAATTCCGAATCAAAACAGGGTTCATGTAGGGTCAAGAGGAAACCCTAGTCAGCATGTGAATCAGAGGATAGAGAGGGATAGGGAGATAGGGAGGGAGAGCGTCAAGCAAAAACAGAAAGCTAAGGTGTCGAAGAACATGAACATGCCCCAGCTTGTGCAGGAAATTCAGGAGAAGCTCTTGAAGGGATCAGTTGAATGCATGATATGTTATGATATGGTTAGGAGATCATCACCCATCTGGTCCTGCTCCAGTTGTTACTCAATTTTTCACCTGAATTGCATTAAGAAATGGGCCAGGGCTCCCACTTCTACTGATTTATCAGCTGAGAAGGATCAGGGTTTTAATTGGCGTTGCCCTGGATGCCAATCTGTGCAGCTCCTGTCATCTAAGGAGATTCGGTACGTCTGCTTTTGTGGAAAGAGACCTGATCCCCCTTCAGATTTGTATTTGACACCGCATTCGTGTGGCGAGCCTTGTGGAAAACCATTGGAGAAAGAAGTTCCTGGTACTGGTATGAGTAAAGATGATCTTTGTCCTCATGTTTGTGTTTTGCAATGCCATCCCGGTCCTTGTCCCCCTTGCAAGGCTTTTGCTCCGCCGCGTAGATGCCCTTGTAAAAAGAAAGTTGTTACTACGAGATGCTCTGATCAAAAGTCTGTTCTCACTTGTGGGCAGAGGTGTGATAAACTTCTTGATTGTGGGCGCCATCATTGTGAAAGGGTCTGCCATGTAGGCCCTTGCGATCCGTGCCAGGTCCTTGTTAATGCCGCTTGTTTCTGCAAGAAGAAGATCGAAGTTGTTCTTTGTGGAGATATGGTTGTGAAGGGAGAATTCAAAGTGGAAGATGGTGTGTTTTCGTGCAGCTCAATTTGCGAGAAGAAACTTAAATGTGGAAATCATGACTGCCCTGAAATCTGCCACCCTGGCCCATGTGGGGAATGTGAATTCTTGCCAGGCAAGATTGAGACTTGCTGCTGTGGTAAGGCAAGTTTAAAGGAGGGTAGGCAGAGTTGTTTGGATTTGATTCCAACATGTTCACAGATCTGTGGCAAGATTCTCCCTTGTGGACTGCATAGCTGCCTGAATGTCTGTCATTCTGGTGTTTGTCCACCATGTCCTGTGCTCGTCAGCCAAAAATGCCGCTGTGGTTCAACTTCTCGAACTGTTGAGTGCTACAAAACTGTCACAGGGAGTGAGATATTTACTTGTGATAAACCCTGTGGTCGGAAGAAGAACTGTGGAAGGCATCGGTGCAATGAACGGTGCTGCCCTCTTTCTAATTCTAACAATAGTCCCTCTGTTGATTGGAATCCACATTTGTGCTTGATGCCGTGTGAAAAGAAGCTAAGGTGTGGACAGCATTCTTGCCCATCACTGTGTCACAGTGGTCATTGTCCTCCCTGTCTGGAGACAATTTTCATTGACTTGACTTGTGCTTGTGGTAGAACTTCAATTCCTCCTCCACTTCCTTGTGGTACGCCTGCCCCTTCATGTCAATACCATTGCTCAGTTCCTCAGCCATGTGGTCATCCATCTTCTCATAGCTGCCATTTTGGGGAGTGCCCACCGTGCTCAGTTCCTATTGCAAAGGAGTGTGTTGGTGGGCACGTCATCCTCAGGAACATTCCTTGTGGGTCCAAGGATATTAGATGCAATAAGCTTTGTGGCAAGACAAGGCAATGTGGCTTGCATGCATGCTCTAGAACTTGCCATCCACTACCCTGTGATTCTTCTGCTGGATCAACTACTGGTGCAACAGCTTCTTGTGGGCAGACATGTGGGGCTCCAAGGAGTGATTGCAGGCATACGTGTACCGCCCTTTGTCATCCGTTCTCTCCATGTCCTGATGTAAGATGTGAGTTCTCTGTCACGATCACTTGTTCTTGTGGCCGAATAACTGCTACTGTTCCTTGTGATGCTGGAGGTAGCAATGGAGGGTACAATGTTGATACTGTTCTTGAAGCCTCCATAATCCAAAAGTTACCCGTACCTCTACAACCAGTTGAAGGAAATGGCAAGAGAATTCCTCTTTCTCAGAGGAAGCTCGTGTGTGATGATGAATGTACAAAGACGGAGCGTAAAAAGGTTCTTGCTGATGCTTTCGGAGTTACTTCCCCAAACTTGGACGCATTTCATTTTGGTGAGAGTATGTCAATATCTGAAGTGCTATCAGAACTTCTCAGACGTGACCCTAAGTGGGTGTTGTCTGTGGAAGAGAGATGCAAATATCTGGTCCTTGGCAGAGGTAGAAGTGGAGTCAATGCCCTTAAAGTCCATGTTTTCTGCCCGATGTTGAAAGAAAAGAGAGATGCAGTTAGGCTGATAGCGGAAAGGTGGAAGCTTTCTGTGAATGCTGCTGGTTGGGAGCCAAAAAGATTTATTGTCGTTCATGTTACACCTAAGTCCAAAGCTCCAGCTCGTGTGCTTGGAGTAAAATGTTCTAATCCTAGTAGCATGTTGCAACCACCAAATTTTGATCCTCTGGTCGACATGGATCCCAGACTTGTTGTTGCTCTTTTTGATATGCCTAGGGATTCAGATATCAGTGCATTGGTCCTCAGGTTTGGTGGGGAATGTGAACTAGCCTGGTTGAATGATAAGAATGCATTGGCTGTCTTCAGTGATCCAGCTCGAGCAGCAACTGCTATGAGGAGATTAGATCAGGGATCTGTGTACCATGGAGCAGTTGTAGTTCCTCAAATTGGTGGTGCATCAGCTACAACTTCAGGTGCTAATGCTTGGGGATCTTCTGTAGCATCCAAGGATGGAAGTGGTATGGCATCCCTGAAGGGGAATCCATGGAAGAAAGTAGTTGTGCAGGATCCTGACTGGAAGGACGGTTTTTGGGTTGGTGAGGAGTGGTCAGGAACTGCTACTGATTCTGACTTGAAGGGGAAAGAAGCTCCAATTGCAGCATCAGCCAACATGTGGAGTGTTCTGGATTCCGAAAGCACCTTGAAATTATCAGCTGCTTCTGTTAAAAAGGAGGATCTTTTGAAACAGCCTGAAAATAGTTCTGTATCGGCCACTAATCCAGAAGGCAGTGGTTCGAATTTGCCGGCACTGCAAGAAGGGACTAGCGTTGAGTGTTCTGATGATGTAGTGGATGATTGGGAGGAGGCTTATGATTGAGTGTGTGCGTACAAATTTATATCGACAAGATATTCTGTGCAAGCAATAATTGCAGGAGAGAAGTTTCAATTCAGTTTGCCCTCCTGTGTTCACGTTTTATCTTTAGTTTCCTTTTTGGGAAAATGACTTTCTGGTTTGGATATTTCGCATGTGGTGTATGCCTTTTTAAGAAATTTCACAGCTAGAAGGAAATTTAGCGAGGAAGTTCCGTCCCTGTTGGTGGAAGTTGGAAAGTATGCTGTTGCTGTAAATGTGTATTTCGTTCCTCCGCCTTCTTCGACTTAATACGTATCTCATTCACCAGTCTTTAAATGACCATGGTTTATCATTTTCTGTGTTAGTTCTTATTTCCGTTTTCCATGATATTTTCGTTGAGTTTTCCTTCATAATCCTGTAGTTGCTGTTGCACTATCTATTTCTCCTCTCCCTTTTGTTAACTTAGCTAGCATGGACGGAGGAAGGGAGCACCTGGTCATCTCAGTGTTTTTGGCGTTTTTGGTGAAATGATGGAAGTTGTAGCAACCAGTGGATGCTTCATTAGGATATAGGGAATAGGATCACCTTTTGATTCTTTCGCAAGTAAGATATTATTTGATATTGCACCGTCTCTGATGATGCTATTGTAGTCTTGTGGAGTTTTCCTTTTTAGACGTTGATATTGTGTCAATTGCGTTTAGCTGTGTACTCGGCATATCTCCCTCTTCCTCTTGGTTCTTGCTAGTGCGCACATCTCGAGTAGCTGGGTTGGGTGGTCTAAATTTATGTCTTATTTTGGAATCGAAATACTAAAGATGTATATGACAGTACTCGATGTGCAACCTTTGAGTTCTCACAATATGTGCATACAAACATTCAGTAACAGTGTTTGCCAATGTTTCTCTAGGTTTCCTTGTAATCATCTATGTGACAAAATGATGCCTTCGACATTGACGAGGAACCATTGCCAGATAAAATGCTGTGAGCTGGGTCCTTCTTTTCTCTTCTTTTTCTTCACAAAATATAAGGCCGTGGTTGGTTTGCCGTTTTCGATCCATTTTCCGCTTTCGAAAACGCGGAAAAAGCATTTTTGAAAACGAGTTAAAAATTATAACTAAAAACACAAAACAACTTTTTATCGTTTTCAGCGTTTTCAATTATAAATGTTGAAAATACTCAAAACGCGGAAAAAGAGCCGTTTTCGGGGAAAACTAAAAATCGTTTTGAAAATGAAAATGGAAACCAACCGCAATATTAGAGTCTTTTCTTAGTGCACAAGAATAATAAATTTTGTTTAAAATTGAGAAAAGTATGAATAATAGTTAAGAAGGTATGTCAAATAGGTAAGCATTCATTTGTCTTTGAAGGGATAGATGATCATGTTTTGTAGATAAGATTAGGTTGGATGGGGAAAAATAGTCTCGTCTCATCCATATACTTGGGTTGCTTGGGTTGCTTACGAACAGTGAAGCCTCGGTTGGGGTTGGCAGGGATCCCTACGATTGCAATTGTGTCTTTATTAATCTTTTGATAGATCTGTTTGGCGATTTGAAATTGAAATAACCTCCTCAGCATGAATGCAAAAAAGAAGGCGTCATTTGTCATGTTCGATAGATTTATTATATTTGTCATCGTACTAGTGAGAAAGTTTGGCTTTATTCTAATAACTCGGAAGCCAAGTGGAAGTAAACGAGAGAATAAAATGTTCTATTACTTTCATTTATAAAGTGAGCCCTTGGTATAATCTCAAGAATTGAACATCTCATACTGCTACAATTAACCCCACCCATCTCCCTCAAATAATAGGTTCGTAGCTCCTCTAAAAACTCATTTTTGACTTCACTTTCTCTAGATAAAATATTTTACAGGTTAACTCAATTTTTTCCTACTTTTTAGTTACACATTCTTAAAAAATTCACAATTATAAAATTAATTTTCCAAAAAAAGGGGCTGAAACATAGGCTTCATCTAATTTGAAGGGTTTATGATTTATATTTTATTTGCATAATTTAAATGATTATATCCTATCAAGATCAAATTCTACATATGGACATTATGGATCAACTCTTCTGGTAGTTCCAAATGATCTATAAGGACATTATTACATGTACATCAAACTTTACATAATATGTTACATAATGTCACATGTCACTCTCATTTGTCAGTTTAAAAAGAGTCAACCTTTTCATCTAATCTTTTTCCGCCACATCATTTTATATAATTCCCTATATATCATGTTTATGTACAAGTAGTATAATCCATCTCGTAAACCATCATGACATGTTTGCTATACATATATTTTCGACCTGGCAAATGAACCAATGAGACGGATTAACTTGCTTATCGCTTTAGAAAATTTTGAATGCCACTCAATTGAAACAAGCCCCAAAATTTAACGAGATAGAAAATTCTACTCATTTATCCGACAACTTTTTTCGAGGATATACTCTCCGGGGCAGGAAAACACACTGTCTCCATTCCATGTAACGACTTTTACACCTAATCCATTGCTCTACAATTGTTATCGTAATTTTTGACTACATCACTTCATTTTAGATTATGTTTTCCCTCTTTCACAAGGCTCTGTATATACCTCCAAAAAGTGCAAATGGATGAGTGGTCGAAGAATTTATATTACAGAATTCATGTAGTAGGACGCGTCATTGCGGATGTAGGAATAACACTCTGGAGACTCTTAACCAATTACTTAAGCTGCGAATAGAAATGACGTCATTGTACTTGTGCAAACAAAATGTCAACCACTAGGTTTAAAAAACTTCAAGTTTCAAAATGTGAAAATTCCTAAGTCGTAATTAGACCTAAACTTTTTCAAATTCATTATATAGAGGAATGTCTTCGCTCGTGCTTTCTTCTCCAGCCTGAGCTCCAGCAATTTCAATGCAAGAGTACAAGAAAATATATAGCATATTTGATTTATTCCATAATTCCTTTTTGTTTACTCCTCTTGTAATATATTAGCTTAATTTTTTCATTAAGAAACCTAATCTTTTGATGGCTCAATAATATGTTTTCTTCTTCTTATCTTAATTCTTCTTCTCATTTGGTTGATTTATCAAATTAGTTTGTGTTGTTCACATGGTATCAAAGCACAAATCTATGCATCAAAGTTGATTCTTCTTTTAAATCATTTTGTGCAAATTGAAAACCCTTACCCTTGTCTCTTCTTCCCTGGGACGGTTGTGGACAATTGTGCTCCAGATTTTTTTAGTGCAACAATGTTCGCTGTACATCTAGCACATCAATGTTTGCTCTACACTCTCAATTGTCTATATAGATTAGAACAAATGTTATATGAGAGTTGCAAGTGATGAGTGCAACTCTTCCAAACAAAAGGAACATTGGAAATCTTAATGTCTTAAGCTATTGAAGAAGCAGCAGCCACAATCACAGTAGCGATCCTATTGCCCCAATGCTAACATAGCTACCACCATGCCACCTAGTGACTCGTATATACTTGGAGCACCATCTTCCTCCAATCCCATGTTGACTGGTTTAGCAAAGCAGTTTCTGAAGTTCTTAGCCACAGAGCCACATCCCATGTCAACCTCTACTTGTAGGTTTGTCATCTCAGAGTCGTTCAGGTAGTTTTTTCCTAATGGATCTTTGACTCGGTTGCTTCCAAACACGCTGTCTAACTCAAAATTCTTTAATGACTCGCATCCTTCTAACTTTAGGTTTGTTTCATGCTCATCATTTAGGGAAAATTGAAACCATAGTCGATTTTGTAGAAACTTCAAAAATTTATTGCATTTATTGGTTATTTTCGTGCATTAATATTGGTATGGTTAGAAATGTATTTCAATGAGCTGTTCAATCATATAAATGGCTCGTTTGGTATGACTTTAGCTTCCCGTAGAAGAGAATTTGAAGAAAGTTACCTTAATTTTTATTTGAAAATTAATTTTTAAAAGAGTTATTTTTTAAAATGCTCCTTTTTTTTTAATTTGAAAAAAAATTTAATAGTATTTTAGATCCTTGTGTTTGTTAACAATTTTTTGAAAATTGTATTTAATTAAAAAAAAATTGATTTTAGCGTTAAAATCTTTTCTGATTTTAAATGTTCCCAAGTTTCCCCGTTCTTGAGGACTAGTGGTCTTAATGTGATTGTGTAATCCATTACGGCCCTTCCTATTTTTCGTGCTTAGTCCAATTTGGCTAGCTACATGCGCATTTTGAGTATTCTAAGAGATAGTACTAAAAGATTATGATATAGAATTGTTGGAATAATTAATAATTTCACATGTAGACTTCACATTCGATTGCAAATTTTAAG